GGAGGCTACAGATACTGAAAATTTGCCTTAGCTTCTGTGTAGCTCTCCCTCTCAGCACTGCCACTCGCCTCACACAGCTGAGCCCGCTCCACCCCTGCCCGCTCTGAGCCCAGCCCCAGCTGGGAGTGCTGCACCTTTGTGGGCTCACTTACGCAGGGCAGACAGGCCCAAGCCCCTCTTCCCCATGCCGCCTCTGCTTAAATTGTAAATAAAAGTAAAATAAATGGTGGGTGATGATAAAAGGAATTAAGAGCATGAGGATTACAGCAATAAGAAAAACCAAACAAAAAGCTTGTCAGAAACATTTTATGCAGTTATATCTTGTCAGTTCCCTTTGCTTTCATCTTTATTGTGCAATGGTTTTAGTTTGTCATTACTGTTATTTAACAGGTCTGATGGACCAAACATTGTTAGAATAATAGATATTAGAGCAAGATCTATATAGCAAAGTTAGCCAATGAATCACGAGTAGGGAGTTGAAGGAGGAATGAAGCTACCTGTCTCTGAGGCTCACAAGTGATATTCTATGCACCACTAGGAATAGGTAGGAGAATTGGAGAATGCCGGCTCGGAAACAAAGAAAGAATTAATCACAAACAGTATCTAGAGCCTTAGAGGAAAAATAAGGGGAGTCTGAATTTGATGCAGAGAACTTAGAAATAAGTTAAAATGTAAAGATTACAGATACAAACAACTGATTTAGATGCCAAATGCTGGACAGAAGAGTAATGAGTCAGATAACAAAGTTTCTGTTACAATTATGCCATTTTGAATATCCATGATTCATTACTTATTTTAGCACTTAGAAGCCTCACTTGGGATTAGGGCCCCACCATGCAACTCCTAGGAGAAACAAAGAAGATTGGGTAGGGTTCTTTATGTTCATTTTGAGCTGGCAGCTTGACATGCATGCATACTTTGTATAGTTTTCAGGGGGTGGGAAGCAAGTTGGAATGTATAGAGGTGGATTTGGAAATCATCCAGTAGTAATGTGATAGGAAGCTGTAAGAGAATAAACACACCCAGGAAGTAGGTGCAGTTAAAGAATGGGGCCTGATGACTTCTCTTTGGTGGTGGTGTCAATAAGGAAAATTCTTTAGATAGCATTTCCTGAGGAAGGCCTAGAAACAGTCACTGGTAAGAGGAGGAAGAGATAGGCTACCAGTAGAGCTAGCATAAGGACCTGAAAGTAGCTCTTCATCTATTACTGGCCAATGAAAGAATTCCCATGGAGCACAGGAAAAACAGGTAGCAGAGGACCTACAAAGGATCAGAGGACAGAAAACTGAGGCAACAGAAACAGGCAATAGAGAAGACAGTGGAGTAGGAGAAGGAAGATGTTGCAAGTTATTTCATGAAGGAAGTAACTGGAAGTGAGAGAAGGATTTTGGGGGAGGAGAAGATGCAAGACATTAGAAAATGCTCATAAGATTATGCCAATTTTAGTATAAAATACCACTGTCAGCTGAAAGTTCTATTGCTCTGGAGCACAAAATAATAGCACATATATATGTGAGTTACACCAACTTAAGGGACAGGCTTTCTAGTTTGAATTTACTATTCTTTGCTTAAGGAAGGTTCATTTACATGAAGGAGCACCCTTCTAAAATGCTCATCACAGCTTGTCTAAAAAAACAAATAAAGTATAGTGCCTATATGTAAATTTTAGTATCCTATTTGGTGCATCTCCAAACTGTGGATCTCCAAATTGATTTAGATGAGAATTAAAAAAGGCTACTGAATCTGATGGTGAAGTTTTACCATTACAGAATCTGAAGATACATCTTCATTTTTATTCTAACCCATGTAAATAACTGCCATGTACATACCTGAAATATTTCATTGATATCCACTGGGAGAGCAAGCCCAATGTAATCATCAAAGCTACCATATGTAGCATTAGATACCATGGAGCGAACAGAAGAGGAACGCTGCAGTGTGTTTTGGTTAATAGGACTCAATAAATCTTCTTTATCTAGTGAAGCATAACTTAAAGCTTTCATGAACCTATAAGACAGAAGGGAAAAAAGACAAAAAACTGACAATCATGCATTTCTGCATCTTACAAACAAGAAGAGCTGATAGTGCTCTATGTTAAGGTTGTCCAACACTTCCCATTTCAGGACCCTGTTTTTATTTTATAAACTTGCCAAATTTTAACCATTTGAGATTGCATTTCCTCATCTCAAATAGCTGCCTCAGGCTGATCATGTATCAGGTTGAGCCCCGATTAGAACACTTCAGGCAAAACTGTTCAGCTGTTTCTGAGAATGAGGCAAAGGCGAAACACATCTTCATGACATTAAATTTAAAAAAAATCTTCAGTTCTCCAATGTGTTTGAAAAGGGATTTGATAACTGTCAGAAGGAAATCTTGTATACGAAGGATATTAGCTTATGTGAAAATGGACCCCAAATTTGTCTAAGTTAAAAGTCTGAAAAATTACAGTTCGCACATTCTTGGTAGAAACGGCTGAGATGTTAGTACCTAAATTTGCAAATATTTCCATCCATGCTGGGCTTGCTTAGACCTGAGGTTGAGCAAGACTCTCCCTTGCTTTTGCGGTGGCTGCTATGTACTATGTCAGGTCTAGGTGCAAGCACTAGGACTCAAGAGCAGGGAAACTACTACTCTTGTGATCAACGTGACCTACTTACTAGGCTACGCTCAAGGCAGCATGGAAGAACACTGCCCAATCTGAATGCAAAAGCATCTAGAATGGTTCTTCACTTCTTTTTATGTGACTCCTTGGGACAAGGAGCCTGGAAGACAGAGGGGAAAATTCAGATAAAGGGCTGGAGAGGAGGGAAGAAAATGGGACTGTCTGGGTGAGGGACTAGAAATAAGAACCATTACATTGGGAGCAGAGAAAAGAA